AAAATCTTCCTACCATCCGTATTGCAACTGATATGGCTCTGAGATGGAGGTCCTGAGATGAAACGGGATGTACGATGTTTTCTATTTCAAAGAGTGCTCAAATTTTAAGAACATGCCGAAAAAAATGGTGCTTTGAGAATCTGATCTACATTACTCGTCCCGACCACAATTGTATGACCCTAGACTACAATAGAATTTAGAAATGTCGTAATTAAGCGGACAATTGTTAAAACAAACATATGCAAAACTTAATTAACAAAACAAAACAACAAATTGTACACACATCAAAAGCTAAAAATTAAAACAACACAATGTAAACGTACAATCCAAGAAAAATAATACATTCGAACATTACACCTGAATACACAAAATATTTATAATTAATTGGCATGGAATTAGTAAAGATGTAAATAAAGTTTACCCTATAGTAAAATTCTAATTTTTTTTCAAATCACATGGTATGCATAAAAATTTGCCATGGAATTTCATGCAGATTTGTCTGCCAGGTTCTTAGCACTAATAATTTTGACTTAAGCGGTCTTGTCATTAATGTTTTTAATTATCAATAATGATAAGGAGCCAACTGTTGACTCCGTTATGGAGCCAACAGTCAATGAGATAGCTCCATATGGGGTTGTCCCACATTGGAGCCATGTGAGGCTGTCCCATTGGTTGTTGGCTCCATAACGGAGCCAACAGTTGGCTCCTTAGCATTTCTGATTTAATTATAGTTGCATGCTATCAACTGATAAACGTACAATTTCAGATAAATTTTCATTTGCTATCTTATCTCCTTTTCTAGGCTTGATTTGTATTTTCAGAGAATTCCTTTTAGTGGGGAAAACAGTGTTTGCTGGTCTAGAAGAGTTCATAAAGTTAATTTCTAATTTTAGGTTTGTAAAAGATGAAATTGCATTTATCTAATCGTCCTTACTTTCATCATTCGAGGTATTTGACCCGGAGCCAAACTGATGAAGATGTTTTGTAAAGAAAATATGGCTTAATTCTTAAATTTTGGCGATAGTAGCTAATTAAGTGCAAACATAATTGAATTCACTTAAACCATATTTTGAAGTGTGTATTTGAGAATTATGTGTGTAATATTTTACGAGGCTGCACACCCAAGGGATTAGAAGAAATGTGAAGGTTAGAATTTAGTTCAGTTTCTTAGTGGTTAGGCTAGTTTTTTCTTTCTGGTGGTTTTGGTTGTACATGTTTTACTCTTGTTTTGCTGGTGTCTTTTTCTCTTTTGTGCTTTAGTTGCTTGGTTGGTCTGCTAGGCTGCTTTGGAGAAGTTTGTATGACTAATTAGCCTGTCCATTTTGTACTCTCCTTATTGAGTTTGGATCTATCATTTCGATAAAAAAAAGTACTATATTGTTTCAAATCATGTTTTTTTGTCGATTATATTTCGAAAATCCCATTATAATTGCCAGTATCTCAAAAAGAGAGACATAATCACCAGAAAAGAAGAAAAAAAAACAGGCTTCAAAGGATTCTCTGTCATCTTTACATCATCTTCCTACTTTTCCAAAGATTAGTATCATTTTCTCCATAGTATATCCTTCTTGATTTTTCTGACGTAAAATCAAACCTATACACACATAAAAGCAATAGTATGACCGTGGAAATGCTATCAGAATACTCGAAAAATGATGAGAAAACCAAGCTCAAAGGGATTATCATGCCCGAGGCTGGACATCAAAATCGACATCTAAACCTAGTTCTGGTCATATACAAAACCCACGGCTTGCATGGAAAAATGAGGTTGATGCAATAACAAGGAAATTTATCTAGAGATGGCGCTGGAAATTTTCCAGATTTTCCACGGCTACATAATTTTGTTTTCACAAGAGCCTGAGTCAAAAGAAGGTTCAAGTTAAAGATGAAATAACATGAAACCTGAATCACCATGCTAGAAGTGGCCAAGATAGAGATTTTCTTTTGTTACACAAAATGAATTTCACAAACCTTTTCTCTCTTCCCTTTTCTTCTTTCTCTGCTCTCGAGAAATCACCAAACCAAGCCAAGAAATGGAGAATATCATAATAAGCTTTAGTGAATAGCTTATAAAATCAATGTAAAAGCTACACATCACGAAATCTGCTAAACCTAATGCAACACAACCGCAAAAGCGTGATCTAAACTGTATTTCACAATTAATTCTAATAAGGTACCAGCAAACACATTTCACTTGCATTAGGCTGTTAAACCCCATCAAACCTAACATCAAACCCATCCACACATTAAACATTAAGTAGGTTGTCAAACCCCATCAAACCTAATCAAATTGACACTTCCTCCAAAAACAATAGACATCAATGCAAGGAAAACTGATATTTTTGTTCTTGTTCTGAGGAATAATAAACCTCATGCTTGAAGCTGGCTATCTAGAATTCAAAATTCACAATTTAAAAAAATGGGTGCCTCGATAAATATATATAATCAACCAAAAGATTGCTTTATACAGAAAATGAATATGAATCATTCTTCAATACAAGAAATTAGTATACAGACAAAGTAATAATCTCTCATGCGTACATAAAACACAATCCGCGGATGCAAATAGACTCACAAAAATCAGAATCAATTTCTAAGCTTCATATTCAACAGCCCATACTGAGGAAATTGGAAATTTCAACAAGAAAAAGATCATCCAGTTAGAGAAGGCCAAACAGCGCAAATACCCCAAGCAAGATCAGCCAAATAATGTGAACCAACAGCAGCGCCTGGCCCGCGGTGCCCGACCCGCCATTGCCCACTTCGCAAAACCCTAATTTCTTCACTCGCGCGCCAGCACAATGGGCCTCGGAGCAACCGCACCAGTACGTGACGCCGTCGACCCCACAAACCGGGTTGGGCCGGAAGCATTTCACCGGGCAGACATCAGGGTTGGAATTCAAAGGGCAGATGTCATTTTCCGCTTGATCGGAGGGCAATTTGATGGGATTAGGGTTGGATCGGACGGTTGGCGGGAGGAGGGTGGTGACAAGAACGACAAGGATAAAAATCGCCGGCGGTTTGATCTGCAACACGTGCATTTTCTGCGATCTTCAAATTGTTCGATTGTAGATCGCAAGTCTGAGAACTCCAGATGCTTATTCAATAAATTGATATTGTTTACTTTCCAATTGGCACGAACTAGATTCTGGGTCTTGGAGGGATTGGCAAGAAAGGAGCTGAGGTTATGAATTCTAGGGTTTTCTTTTCTCCAATTTTGAATCGGTGTTACCTATCGGAGAAAGAAAAAAGGGAAATATATCTTTTGCTCCGAAAGGGCATTAATTCATATCTGGCACCATTTAACATAACAGAGAACTTTTTATTATTTACCTGTATTATACATGGTAATATCGTTCGCAAAACAAAGAATATTTATATATCTATATCTATATATATATTAAAGCTAAGGAGCTGAAAATTTCCCCCCAAAACTACATTTAATACATTGTAATAAATTTTATCAACTTCTATGCATGATTTATCAACAAAAAATATTTATTACATATAAACATTAATTTGTACTCCCTCCTATTCAAATTAATTGTCGTTCTGACTTTTCTGCTCATTAACTAAATATTTGTCGTTCTGCATATTTTTTTAATATTTTTCCACTTTTACCCCCCTCCAACTGATAAAAAGCGTCTCTTCATATCTAATATTCCTCTTTTCCCGTGACATCGATCTCTATTCCCATGGCAGAAGTATATGCCAACGTCTCTATATATTTTTCCAATCCATCTTTCATCTTTTTTAATCTAAATTTTTTTAATCCTTTAATTCTGGTTCTATTGTTCTCCCCCTTTTTTCCTCTTTTGATTCATGGATTTGAAAGGTTATGATGCTTCGATATCGGATCCAGAAATTCACTTTGCTACATCTATTCAATCTCACAAACTTCTTGTGGATGAAGTCCTTCAACTATTGGAGAAGACAAAAGCAAGTTTAGATGTTGCCCATTCAATCGCTATGCAAATTAGTGATTTGACAGAGTCATCTAAGGTGTATGTGTCTGATTCGGACGTTGAAGATGATATTCATAAACCTCCGCGGAGGTCTATCGTACTTAAAAGGACTCCGAGCAAAAGAGAAGAGAGGCTCAATCACTTTGCAACTGGAACTAGTTTTTCAAAAGGTAAAAGTGAAATAAAGGTTGAAGAGAAGCCTGTTGTTAGTGAAGCAATTTTGTGTCCAAATGATCAAGTTGTGAACGAGATGCTGAAGATTTTTGTGCCAAATCTATTTACCGAAAAGCTCTCGACCAACGTGGCAGATTTGCTTTGAGCGGATAGTCTTGTTCGTCATTTTTTTTTTTTTTTTNCAACCAATTGGTTATTTATCGTTGGACTTTCACTAGCAGCCAAAGTTGGTTTTTTCTTTTTTTTTTTCACTTTGACGTTATAAACTAAAATCTTTAAAAATTAGAAATGATTGGGCTTTGTTGCGCAATTCTGTCATTTTCCTGTCAAATGAACCACTGTTTTAGTACTTATAACCAAAAGAAGAGAATTTAGTATACAATGTGGAAAATCCTTATTTTCTTTCTGTATTCTTGCTCTATTATCTTTTTACCTTTAATCTTTTTCTATTATGCTTGATTTCTTATAATTTAGTTAGTCTGTGGTTTTTGTTGGTTTCTTTTTGTTTTAAAGGCTCCTGTGGATTTAGTGTTCATCTGGGTTAGTTGTTGATTCCAATATGATGACTGTGTGTTAAATTGAGAACATACAAGCAATATGTATTGTGTTTCATCATTGTTTTTTTTTTCGTTATGATTTAATGTACTTTTGTCTTTAAAGTCTTTAAATAGGTTCAATTGTTGCATTTGCTAGTACTGAGCTCCACTAGGCAAATTGGTGTGGATTCATTCTGTTAATTATGTTATGGTCTTGAAGTGGTTTGTTCCCAAATGAATGTGCACAGTTAAAGCAAAAATGTATTGTTCTGTTAATTATGCAGTACACACTAACAGATAAACAAAAATGTATTGTCCTGGGGTATGTCAAAAGGTTCAGTCGTCAGTTCATATTTCGTTGACCAATTCTTCCTTCAAATTTTTGTTCTTCAATTCACATGAGATGTGAGTAAAACTGAAAATTGGAGAAGAATATGGCCATTGGGTTCCTCTTATGTTTCTATTTATTTTTGTTTCTTAATTAGTCAGGAGCTCTTTCATGTATCATGTGTTTAAAGGAAAACCTAATGCTCAGGAAAATTGCTCGAGTGATTGGTCAAGGCTCCAAATAAATGATTAGATGAAAAAAAACTCATCTCTACAATTACTACTGTCGCGACTTTAATTATTAGCTTCCTATCTGTCGTGACTTTAACATTGTCATTTTAGTTTACTGTTAGCTTGAAACAGTGTGTATTTGCGCCTTTTGTTTTCATTTTTTCTTAATATTCTGCGAGTATTGGTATCTTCTTATGTAGAAATGTTTATGTTAAGAACAAAGATTAACTGTTGGATATTTATATTACTATAAGTATAGAGTTCGCTAGAGATTTTTCAGCATTTTCTGCTTATTGGACGAATTTGTTTCTACGGTGAGCTAATTAATCTTTTGGATTGAATTTGTTTCTGTTTTTTTTTTGTTTTCTTCTCATGTTATATTGTTATTGATGAATTTAGCTGTTAGTGTTATTTTTTCTAGGGTGAGCTAATTTTTTTTTTCTTCTCCTGTTATTAGATTTTAGCTAGTTTCATTCTCACATGCTTTTGTATGAGTAATTTACTTTATTTTTTGTACTGAATATATACTTTGATTCTAAGCCTTCCCTTTTCCCACCGATTTTCTTTTTCCACAGAGAATGAAGAAACGGTAGAGTTAATAAAACTGATTTGGTGATCATTATTTGAACAATCTGCATACATTTCGATATGGTGACTAAATCATGGTTCCGAAATTTCTGGACATCCAAGAAATCCGACTCCCAAGCACACAAATCACAGATTGCGGTTTTGGCGTTCGAAGCCGCTAGCCTTATTACCAAACTCCTCCACCTATGGCAATCTCTCACCGACAAGCAAGTCGCGAGATTAAGAGACGAAATAACAAATTCGGCCGGCATCAAAAAGCTCGTCTCAGAAAACGACGACTACATCGGCCGGTTAATATGCACGGAGATGATGGAGAATTTATCCCACGTGGCACGAGCTGTCCCAGGTTGTCGAAAAAGTGCAACGACCCTCTCTTGAGGAGGTTCGAGCAGGCCTACAGTGATCTAATAAAAAACGACGCGGACACGTAGAGGTGGCAGTTCTCGTGGAAAAAATGAAGCCAAACATACGATTACACGATCCTTCTTCTCGCTCAAACCGTATTCAGCGTTTTTGGAAGGATCTAGCACGTTTTTGGAATCAATCAAGTGGCCGATTTAGGAGTCAGAGAATCTAAAAACAAAAGCTAAGGCGCAAACATTGTCATTTCAATTTACTGTGCTAAATCTAATCCTTGTTCTCCCAAACCATTTTTAACAGTTAACTACCTTTTTAACATTTCTAACAATATTGCAGTTAGCTACCAAACCATAAAGAGAGAGCTCTCATTATTTTTATTCTCCCGACTTATTTTTACAACATGAGTGTTAGAAATTTAGGTTTGGCTTTTTTAATTTGGCCCTTCTAATATTCAGAATAGAGTTAGATATCGTCATTTAACAACTATCAGACCTATCATTTGGCCAACTAGAAATATTACTCCCAAAGGTAAAAGCATACACTGGATATAGAAATTACTAAAACAATATCACCAACATGAAAAGGCCAAATGCAATCCACAAGAGAATAAAACACTAGGAGGGGAGGAGTTGTCTGTCTTGTCTCTCCATAAAAAAACAAGCAACCGAACTGCGAGCAGACTTAAAAGTTCAAATTCATATGCAACATTAAAGCAGCACATCTGGACTTGAAGGAGGCCATCATTTTTCATAGACATCACTAATTTTCTTCCAATCTATCTCCAATCGTACCGTTACCTACAAGCAAATGATAACATTATCAATAATAGTGAATACATGAAGAGGAGAGGTAAAGGTTAACATTGATTTACCTAGTCGTGCTTCTAACAAGTCTTTACTCGATTGTACTAAGGTAGACTCGCATGAAATTTGTGTAGGAAGTTGACCTAGTCTTTGAAGTCGGTTTTTGTTTATATGAGGGATTTTATATCTATTTCCTCCTCCTAATTTCATGATTTCTTTCATACATAATTGCAATGTCAGCCACACGCAATTGAGCTTGATGGGTGAATAGTCAGAGAATGCCTTCTCTACTGCACTTACAAGCTCAGGGATATTCCTCGCGCATATTTTTTGCTGTAACGACTGTATGGCCCTAAAATACCCAAGGTCAAGTATATTCAAATCTGGAGAATTAGGAGGCTGACAAGTTAATCGAATGTCAAAGCCATTTTGTGAAGCTGCTGCTAGAAAATCAGGGTCATTAGGAAGAACGTGCGTCCTAGCATTGTCTTGTTGGACATGAATAGTTTCTCCATAATTAGAGCTAGGCCATTTCTCAATAATGGATGGGATAACTTTTTCAATCAAAAATGCTTTCACATTCTCTCTTTTAACAGATGTGATCGCCTTTATCTCCATTGTGCCAGCTTGTCTGTTCCTGCTATTTCTTTGGGCTGGTTGCTCTGTGACAAACGCCCAACATCCAATTTTTGCCCGAAAATACCACCCTTCCTTCACCATCAAATCTAGGACGAGCCGTGGCTGCTAGAAACATAACTTTCGCAATGTTATTTTTACTTTGGCATGAACGATGAGGATCTTCTTCATTGTTGAGTAGGTAATACGTTTGCTCCTTCTTTGTCAAGTAAAACCATTTTTCGTCGATATGCACATAGTTATACATTCCCTTGAACTTCGGCTCGTTCAACGTTGTGCTTTCATCAAGCATCGATAAACAAAATTCTAGCCGTGATATTTTATTTTTGTCTTTCAAATGTGGCTTGATGGCACTTGAGTGACGACGTAGAACGTCTCGCTTAAAAAGTCTATACAATTTGGAGTAACTAACTCCTAAAGCATTAGAAAGAGATGCAAGTGTTGTTCGTTGATGCAACTCTATCTGTTGAATCCTACTTAAATCTACCTCAATTCGTTTACGACCACAGTTCCGTGTCTTCCTCGACGAAACATCCACATCTGCGCCTGGTGAAGTTCTCTTGTGAATTTTCCATATTCTTTGAACTGTT